TAGTGAAATCAATAGAGCAGTGAGGTAACATTCAGATTTCTTAGCGATTTAGATCTCTCCTCAGAACAAAAGTGAATTCTTCCAATCTGTGAGAACACAACAATATGAGAAATGAACAAATTATTTCCTCCACACTCCTTCAGCCAGCAGACAAGACAAGACCCCTTCTCCCTCGTCTTTGACCTCAGGAGTCTGTGGGCCAAATATGTGGGCCTGACAAAAATATATATGACAATGGGGTATCTGCCCCTTGGTAAGTCAGGAGGAAACAGCTAAAGTAATGGCCTAGTTCTATTCATGACGAGGTGGTTTGAAGTCTAAAGGCTGTTGGGCAGGTCATAGCTTTGTTTAGAATCAGAGTAGTCTTGGGAATCTATGGGAAATTGATTTTGCCCAAAAGTATTGATTTAGACTTCAAGTGAAGATTTCCTACAGAAATGGATAACGCAATTAGAAATCCAAAATGTTATTCCTGAGTAGCCTTACAACTTTTACACTTTTTGCTTTAAGGAAGGAAAATATAAGGACACTCTTAAAAACTGACCAAAAAATAAATAAGTATTGCTACAAAATCATAGAAATCCTTACTAAACAAAAATACCAAAATGAGAAGCTCTTGTTTGTTGCCATACTCTCCATCTACTTCTATATAAATCTGAAGGTGGTGTTTCCATCGCTCAGACCCTGAAGAATTCTGCATTCTTCAATTTACACCAAATCAAAACAACAGTTTGGTCATCGTTGAGTGACTCAAATCATGTTCCTTTTAAAAGTTCTTTGAGTTTGGGAATAAAAAGAAGTCTGAAAGGACAAGATCAGTGTGGTAGGGTGGATGGAATAAGGGACAGTCCTTGCAATAGCAATACCCTTGAATAATGAGCAGATGCATTGTTGCAATCAGAGGTGTGTGGTGGTGGGGGAACCCCAGTGCAACTTTCCTGGCCATTCTCTGACCAATGCTATCTGCAATTTTCTAAAATCTTCTTATAATAAGCCTCCATGATTACTCTGTATTCTTTGAGAAAATCTATCAAGCTTACCCCTTTGCAATCCTGAAACATAGTCACTATAGCCTTCTGAGTTGACCTCTCATCCTTAAACTGAACTGGCCTTGTGGATTCCTGCAGAAGCCAGAGTTTTGACTGGATCTTTTGTTTTGGAGGCACCCTAGGGAGACTAAGGCAAGTGTCTTAATGAGAGAATGTGTCTGACGCTATCCACTGATCACACAAACCTGTTTAAATATGTTTTGTTTGGAGCAAACCTATGCAGGTATGAACAGGAATCTTAGTAGCACTACTTTTTGACTTAGCCTTCCTCATCTTTGATTGTCGCAACAGTAGAGTACTACATCAAAAAGTGAACTTTAAAAATGTGTTTGGCAGTAGGAAACATTTTTTCAGAAGAGAAAGAAAATGATTTATTATACAATTGTTAAGTGCTGTTGAGTCAGTTCTGATTCATAATGACCCTATATAGGATTTCCAAGTAGCAGATAGTGGATTGGAACTGCGACCTTGCAGTTTGAAGTCCAGTGCTGATCCTACAGCGCCACACCAGAAGTCCTGCAATACAACTGTTGTTGTTGTTAAATGCCATGGAGTCAGTTCTGATTCATAGTATAGGGTTTCCAAGGAGCGACTAGTAAACTTGAACCTTGCTGTTCAAATCTACCTTGCAGTCTAGCACATTAGCCCACAGTGCCACACAAGGACTCCATTATACCATGTTGTTGTTGTTGGTGGTAAGTACCGTGGAGTCGGTTCCAACTCATAGTGATCGTGCACAGGGTTTCCGAGGCTGCAAATCTTTACAGGAGCAGAAAGCCTCATCTTTCTCCCATGGAACAGCTGGTAGTTTCGAACTGCTGACCTTGAGGTTAGCAGCCCGATTCTTAACCACATAGTCCACGTTAAAGTGGAGAAAGAGAGAAATTAAAAAGCAAATAAAGAATAAATTAATCTTGTTAAAATATGGGGGGGGGCTTCAAAAGTTCATAGAAAAGGGAATTGAAAGATAATGAAATTTTTCTATGAACTGCTTGAAACCCCTCATAAATCTTCCTATAAGTAAAAGAATGCAAAGTCAGAGTGAGGTCTAAAGATAAAATTAGAAGATCCTGACATGAACTATTAGTAGACATTAGGTGCAAATTGCATTTTGGAACTGTGCAATTAGGAATGATAATATTAAGATGTAGAAAAAATATATGGTTAATGGAAAATGTGATGTACCTACAAGGACAAACACTACAAAAGACCAACTAATCACATTATAGGGACTCAAGAGATCAAGGGTACATCTTGTGATGAACCTATTCTGGAGTTCTGGAATTGACTGCCAGCTGTTACTGACTGAAGGCTACTTGAGGCACGATGACCCAGAAAGCCCATATGGTACTGAAGGCAAACGCATAATTAGATATATCACTTCTAAATGGCATAAATCTACTTTCCCAGAAGGAGGGAGATTAATTGTAATGCACATGTTGGGAGGGTGACTTTCAAAAATCCTGGAACTCTGGAGACTGAAGCATGATGATGCTATTTAATAGTGGCTTCTGGTGTAGCACTATAGCATCAGCACTGGACTACGAACCACAAGGTCAACAGTTCAAATCCACCTGCTGCTACTATGAAACCCTATACAGGGTCACGATGAGTGTAAGCTGACTCGATGGCATTTAGCAGCAACAACTTTGCTTGTGAGAATTTAAAGTGATTATTTGTGTCTCTTATAATAGATACATGTAACTGCTATGATGAAAAGTATGAATTTGTAAAATGTACACTACTATGTTGTTGTTGTTAAGTGCTGTGGAGTCAGTTCTGACTCATAGTGACCCTGAACAGGGTCTCCAAGGCTGCAAATCTTTATGGGAGCAGAAAGCTTTCTCTTTCTCCCACAGAACAGCTGGTAGTTTCGAACTTCCGACCTAGAGGTTAACAACCCGATTCATAAACCACTACACTACCAGAGCTCCTTATACACTACTATAGATACAAGAAATTACAGTAATTTGGTTTCTTCTATAAGCTACACTGCAGTGCTGTAGGATAAGCAATGCACCACTAACCACATTGTCAACATTTCAAACTCAACAGCTGCACCTATGAAACCCTATACAGTGTTGTGATGAGTTAGAAAAGCACTTAACAACAACCTAAACTGCACTGAAATTCCATTCACAGTCAGACTTCATATTATAATTTAGTCAAAGTTTAATAAATCCTTGCAAATATTATAAACATCATTGCTGAAGTCAGAGTAGAAAATTTAAAAAACTGGTTAACTATTTATGCTTAAAAACAAGTCTTTAAATGACTATGCAGAGTAAAAGTTATATCTAATTTTTTTTAAAAAATTAATTTTGTTTAAAAGGAATGATATCACACAAAATTAGGTATGTGCTATGTTCTCCCTGTCTTTCGGGGGTTCTTAAGGACAGAAACTTTGTAATAAGGTGTGGCCTGAACTTTGGCAGGGTGCTTAGGTCTAGGATGCCAACACTGGCAACAATGGGACGTTAGGCCCTTTATAGGGAAACATGGAATTAACAGATAATGGAATTCATGGTAATACTCTACTCTTACTTCTGTTATAAGAAGCCTTAGTGAAGATTAGGAGTATCTTACTACGTGTGTCTCTGCAGAAAAGCTCATTTTTCCCTTGTAAATATTGGTTGAGCAAAGGATTTCAATGCATTTTCTACCCTTAATGAATTTAACATTTCTTTTATATCATTATAAATAATTAATTTATTTATAGTATAAAACCACAATTGTTGTTGTTGTTAAGTGCCGTCAAGTCGGTTCCGACCCGTAGCGACCCTGAACAGGGTTTCCGAGGCTGTTAGGTGCATTTAATCTATAACATTCATTCTGAAGCCCCTGTCTGGTGGTATTGTTTAACATTTATGTCATAAAGATTGGTTTTAGCCTAAAATCTAAAAGAAGGAAAGGAGAAAGGTGGAAGGAGGGAAGTCAGAGGGAGGAAAGAAAGGAGACAGATTTTCTTAATACCACCTTTCTTTCACTGCATGAGATTACTTCCAAAATAACCTTTCTCACATTCAAACAAATAAATGCATTTTGGAATGCAGTGTTAGTTTGAAATTTATGTTTAAGAAATCTGGAAGTGTATATTTTAAAATGTATTTCATTAGACTAGGAAATGGGTAGCTGCCCCTCAAAACTTTAGTCTTGAATCTTTCCCTCTCAATTCTCAGTTACTTTATCTGAAAAGTGGTTGTAAAAAATTATTTTATAACTCTAACTCAAGCTAATAAATCAAGCAAGCTTTGAAATGTCTTCATGATTAGCACTATAGCAACCCACGCTGTTATTTATTCTAGTGACTTTGTTTCTAATGGTAGTTTCTCAGTTGGAATAGAAGTTCAAAGTAATTTTGAGCTTGGTTAAAATCATTGCTTTAAAGAACTGTGATTACTTTCATGTCCTAAATACTAAATGGGTAATTCGTATCTCTTGCATCTTGTTTGGGAAGTCACAAGCAATAAAGAGCAGTGTTCTATGATAATTGATAAACATGATTTGATTTTTGCAGTGCGGTGTTGTCTAGAATATTCATTTTCTGTGAAATGTCTCTTGGCTAAGATATACTTTCTGTAACAGAGGGGTTGAAAAGTGATCATTCAATGAAAAGATGATATGCTTTTTCCTCTGAGAGGATATTTCATCTAAAACAGAAACACGACAAGCATATACCATGTGCCCGTTACTATAGAACCAAAAGACCTTTCCAGCTGTTTACACTTCAGATGTAAAATGGCAATTTGACATAGACTAACAGTGTGATGTGAGCATCTGCGTAAAAAGACTACACACTGAGCATGCCCAATGCAATGAGTGGGTCCTCCCTCCTCCCCCTCCAGATCTTTAAAGATAAGGCTTGAACTTTGCACTTGCAAATGTCACTGCATACGTTTTGCACTGGTTTTCTTTTTTAAAAAAAACAAGGTTTTCCTACAACTAATTTCCTTTAACAAATGCAAGAGTAAGGAAGGTAACATTTAGAGTAGTAAAATGAACCAAGTTTAAAATGAGTTACTACCTTTCTTTCAATGCACTTGAACTGTTCTTTATTTTTAAAGCAACAGAAAGCATTTGAGTGTTTTTTGTTTTGTTTTGTTTTTTTCCCTTCTTGAACGGGAAAATAAGAGACCATTTGGTTGGACTCCCCTAGGGCAGGGAGTGAAAGCCCCGGGGGCTGAAAGGGACTGTAGTGAGGTGCTTGCATAGAGCATGGCTAGGGAAAGAGCCGGGGTTCTCCAGGGCTCGGCTGCGTGCAGGCGCCTTCTAAAGATCTGTGCCCGGGGCTGCAGCTGCGGACATTAAAGGCGCTGTCTGGCTAATGAAGGCCACCTGGATCAGACTTCTGAAAAGAGCCAAAGGAGGAAGGCTGAAGAATTCTGATATCTGTGTAAGCTCCAGGGTTTTCATTTGGGGAGACATGATGCTGCCTTTGCTTCTGCTGTTGTTACAGTGAGTGAAGGAGGCAGAGGCTGGTTTGATTTAGTTAATTTGATCTTGATTTCAAGAGAGGGAGCTCAGGAGATTCCTATAATTTTTCCCTTTCCTACGTTATGATGGATTACTATATGAAATATCCCAGGCAAGTGTTTTCTGTAGACATTACTTATTCAATATCAATTTAAAACTATTTCAGAAATGCCTTGCTTAAAGATTGAATGAAGCTGGCTGCCAGTGTCTTACAGTTTTGTCTTAGGACAAAATGAATAGATGTCAGGTGAATAGAGAAATATCAAATGATTGTTAAGATTAAAGTGAAGTCATATCATGGTAGTGGTAGTTTGAAGAGTTCAAGTTTATAACTTATTTGACCTTTTTTTAAAAATTATTGTTGTTAGACTGATCTTCTTTCGAATCCTTCATACCTGCCTTAGTGTGTAGATTGTTCTTTTGGAAGCTATCCTTGAAACCATCTGTGTCCTTCAGCTCTGCACTGCACCATTGAGTTAGTTTAATATAAAATAACTTGTCTAGCTTCTAGCAAGGATATTAATTAGAATGGAGTCTTGCAAAGGAACAGCAACTTTGTAGATAGAACTGTTTATTGTTGAATGTTTTACAAACTACAGCATTATTTTGTAGATGGCTTGCTACAAAATGGATTGTTTTGTCCTCCTTTCAGGAATTTACAATACAAGCCAGGAAGGAAGCTAACTGTCATGTCAATGACAACGTTCCATTGCAAATACCACAGATTGAATGTATTATAAAATATAAATTGTCCTCTCCAGGGTTCGGCAGACTCCTACACCAGTCGTCCATCTGATTCTGATGTATCTTTGGAGGAAGACCGGGAGGCAGTGCGGAGAGAGGCAGAGCGACAAGCCCAGGCACAGTTGGAAAAAGCCAAGGTAAAACCATGTCTTCCTGCCAAGATTTGTCTTTGCAAATTTTGTTGTGCCCTGTCCGTGATGGGCCACCTGTGGCAGTTTGACCTAACGTTTGTATCTGGTCTATTCTTTGTCTGGTTTAAAGGAGGTAATAAGAAATGGGACTTCATTTCTTTCCTTGCTAGAAGACGGAAGTAAGATATACGAATGGTCTTTAAGCTTATATTGTTTTATTCAAACAACTTGTTTCCATGATTTATGTGCATGCACAAATAAATTCTGAGTTCATAAGGAATCTCTGAATGTATGATGATTAAAAACCACATCCAGTAAACCATATCGCTCCATTTTAGAAAAAAAAAAAAAAAAAGCAAACTTTTTTCAGGCTCATGTTTTTCTTATACTTGTACATGTTTCTCCCCAAATTTTACTCTACAGATGTTTCTTAGTAGTATTCTCTTAGATTTTAAAACAGAAATTTCATTATGCATTTCGAAAATAAAGCCATGGAGGATTTTACTGATCAAAAAAAAAAAACAATTCCTTTCCTTGAGACGTTTTCTTTTCCATCCCCTCATAATAAAGTGTGTACAGGTGGATATTGTTCCTGTGTGCTGAATGAATTCCAACTCATAGGAAAACTATATGACCGAGTAGAACTGCCCCATAGGGTTTCCTAGACCGCCATCTTTATAGGAGCATGTCCAGATGTCGCTATCCTGTGGAGCTAGTAGTAGTATTGTTTTTAAGCGTCATTGAGTTGGTTCTGACTAATAGGGAGTTTGTTTAGGGTTTCCAGGGAGCAGCTGGTGGTTTTGTGGTTAGCAGTCTAGTGCTTACCCTACAGTGCCACACCAGTAGATTTGGTGCCAGTAGGTTGGTTTAAACCACTGATCTTTTTGCTTAGCATCTGAACTCTTAACCATTGTGTCACCAAAGCTCATTGTACTGGGGGGTCTCAAAAGGTTCATAGAAAATAGAATGCGAAGATGATGGAAAGGTACTGGAAATCAGCTATGAAATGTATAGCTAGATATTTTAGTTCAGAGTGTGTTTTATTTAACCCTCACGATTTGTATTTGAACTATTCCCTATATCGTCATTCCAAATAGCAGTTATTTCTAAAGCACATACTGTTGTCTAAGTTTAAGGTGTCTTGGTTTGTATGATACTCAATAGCTTCTGAATGAACATCTTTTAACAAGGTTATTTGTTTCCTTTGGAAAGAAATTGTTGTTGTTGTTAAGTGCCTTCGAGTCGGTTCCGACCCATAGCGACCCTGTACAGGGTTTCCGAGGGTGTGCTTTGAAAAGACTTAAGTACTGTGTTTGCCTGCTTAAAATAAGTAAATAAATAAAGGTAGTGTTAGAATCTCGGTGCTGGCTGCGCCCTGTCTGAGAGGAGTAAAATCTATGTGTGTTGCTATGGGAATGTGGCTTGCAGATGCTGGTTTGAATACATGGACAGTCCTTATATAATATTCATGACCTCTAACTCAGCTGCCATAGAAGTTCACAGAGAAACTGCCAGGAGACTTTCCCTTTTAAAAAGCAGTATTTCCATGCATCAAAACAGTGTTCTCACCTCAGTTAGCAGAGAATTCATCTGCAGGTCTAACACTGTCTTAACTGCTAGACAACTCCATAAACAGCAGGTGTGGGGAGAGTTTTGTGAAGGTGAAGCTGATAAAAAAAGGTGTGGCCCGATTGCCATAAACTGATCTCATTTAAAACATTCAGTCAAACCCCTTCCCAATCAAGTTAATTCCTACTCCTGACAAACTCAGGTGAGAAGAGTAAAACTGTTCTGTAGGGTTTTTAAGACTGTGTTCTTTCAGAGGCAAATTTGCCAGACTTTTCTTTCAAGTCACCTCAGGGTGAGTTCACATCGCCAACTTTAGAATTTGCAGTTGAGTGCTTAACTATTTGTGTCAGCCAGGGACTCCATTGCTCTGTTGAAATTAGAAAATGAATTAAATTAAATAATGAACATATACCCAGTTAATATCCACAAGTTTGCAGTACAGATAATATATGTTGCAATTTAGAATCTGAATTCCACATTCTATCTTTTATACTAGGGTGCAAAGAAGAGTCAAGGAAGAAAGAAAAAAGTTTATAGCCCAGAAATTAAATCTTTCTATCTTGTAGCTAATTTTTTCATGTAATTTTCACATACAAAAATTAAACATATTTTTTAAGGTCACGTCACAAGCGAATGCATCCTAAATTTGTTTTTCAAAGACTTTTGTTATCTGATTGGGATGTTTTTATTTGTGACTCTGGGTCTTATCAGTCATAAGTAAGTAACATAGCTACATTGGACTTTTAGAGATGTTTTCAACCTGGTAGAACTCTAACTGTTGATGCTAAGTCACACCATGTTCAGACTACTTATAGGGCTTTGAACTGGTTCTTCCTGGTTCAGTCATGGCTGAGGAAGTAAAACTTGTAACAGTCTTGAATTTTTTAATTTGTAGTAACTGGAAGCATAACCGTAGTAGAAAAAAATTAAAGTTGAAGCCTTACCAGAAGCTCAATCTCCCTCTTCGAAAACAAGGACAGCAACCAAATCTCTAACCCATTGAATTTTTAGCAGAGTTGGGAAGCAACAGTGCCCTTCTCAAAGGTGGCTGTTCACGACACTACTTTGATTGTGTGTCACTCTCCACAGTCCATGGTTAGGCACCTGATAGGGCTCACTGCACGTCTTCTCAAGGAGCTCTGGTAGCAGAGTGGTTACGAAACCTCAGGGTCAGCAGTTCGAAACTACCAGATGTTCTGCTGGTGAAAGATGAGGCTTTCTGCTCCAGTAAAGATTTACAGAAACCCTGTACAGGGTCGCTATGAGTCGAAACTGACTCCACGACACATAACAACAACAACCCATGATTGGGAGTCCTCATGTGGTGCTGTTGGCTAATGCATCAGACTGCAAAGTCATTTGAACTGCAAGGTCAGTGGTTCGAGCTCACCAGCTGCTCCGTGGAAACCCCAGGGTCACTATGGGTAAGAATCAACTTGACGGCACTTAACAACAACAACAACAACACCCAACATTGGCGGTGCTGTGATTCTATATAAGCCTTGGACCCTGAGCCATAAGATTGACAGTTTGAGCCCACTAGCTACTCCATGGAAAAAGATGAGGCTTTCTACTCTCACAAACACTAACAGCTTCAGAAACCCTATACAGGGGCACTGTGAGACGAAACCAACCTGAAGGCACTTAACACCAACAACAGCCCAGCCATTTGGTGGGAGTTTCAAGGTAGAAGAGCCACATTTCACTCTACCACCATGTGTTTCCAATTCTGCCTACCTTAAGTTGATGCTCTTTGCTATTTATTGACTTTAAACAAGAAGGGGGCCTGGTGACAGTGGGTTAAGTTTTGGCTGCTAATGGAAAGGTCAGCAGTTCGAACCCACCAGCTATTTCATGGGAAAAAGATGAGTCTGTTTCCATAAAGACTTACAGCCTTGGAAACCCTATGCAGGGGTGGGGATCCTTTTTTCTGCCAAAATTTATAACATCAATTCACAGGCCATACAAAATTATCAACTTAAAAATTAGCCTGCTATATTTGGCCATTTAATTAACTCGCCCT